CGGGAGGTGCGACCAGGGGTGGCCGGCAGCCCCTCTTTGGGTGGCGGGGGTGGGGAGGAACGGAATCTGAGCTCCCAGACCCAGTGCAAGCTGGGACTGAGCCAGGCTGCCTGCCTACCTAGCTCCTAATATACTTTAAATGCAGAGCTGCAGCAGGAGTAGGTCCCAGACCTGATACAAGCCAGGACTGATCCAGGCTGCTGGGCAACCTGCTAAAAAACTTACTAGTGGTAGGAAGGAGGATGCGTGTAGTCTATAGAATTAACTGATAAGCTTTTACTTATCAGTTAATTGGTTAATAGACTACACTATTACATTCCTACCCTCCTCTGCCTGTTGTTTCTCATACAAACTTCTCAGTGTTTTCTTCCATGCTATCCCTTTTTCTTGGAACACCTGCCCTCAAAGGATCCAGAAAATCCTCTTATTCTCTGCTTTCAGATCACTCATTTAATTCAGCTCTTTCCTGTCTGTTAATGAAGGGTATTAATTGTGTGGCAGATGGCTATAGTTTGAAGTTATATTTGCATTTTACCATGATAAAGTATCTATGCATATAAAAATTGTATCTATTTGATTATATCCCCCTCATTCACCTTTATGCTGCTTGCCTCCTTGTATGGTTTTGGGACTTTGACTTTATGTGTGTTTGTATAGTGGCCAGCACAACTTGGCCCTGATCCCAACTGGGTTCTCAGGGTACTTATCTTACCTGTGAAGATAAAAGCAAACATCATTGTTAGGTTTTTCTATAGTCCTACGTTCTCGTTCTCATCGGTAGGTTAAAATTGTAAGACTGAGCAGTTACACGAATAACAATAATAACTGTTTTTTTCTGCAGGTATTTTTGGGAAAAGGAGGAAGATCCCATGGAAGCAATGATGCAGGATCTAAACCCAATACTCTCTGACATAGAAAAGGGTTTCTGCTGTTTCTTTAAAAAATTCAAAGTTTTGAAGGAATCACTGATGCTAAACAAAGGTAAACCCAAAGCAGTCTTATTTTCCTTGATCGCTATTATAAATCACATTGCTACATGAGCAGAAGAGGAACTACACAGAGCTGTAGCTCGGAAGTGACTCAAAGCACACAGTTCACAAATAATGTCTTTATGTTTTTTAAAACATATTGAATATATCTTCTAGATATGTAGAATTTCCCCATTAGTCATATTGCTGCAGTGTGACATCCTTTATATGCTTCTGTGAGAAAATATTATGTTTACATGTTTAAACATCCAAAAGTTAGGAAATGTCAAAGTTAAGGTTCATGTACAATAAAGTCTCATAGGGGTAGCCTTGTTAGTCTGTATCTGTAGAAAACAACCAGGAATCCTGTGGCACCTCAGGCTATGTTACACAGCAACATTATTTTGAAATAACTTAGTCTGCATTTACACAGCAGGCAGTTATTTCGAAATACTTCCAAGTTGGAGAACTTCTTACACTGACTCCTATACCCCTCATTGTACGAGGAGTAAGGGAAGTGGAAGGAAGAGACCTCTGTTTTGAAATAACTGCTGTGTAGATGCTCCCAATTTTTAAATAAGCTATGCCATTGATGTAGTTCAATTTGTGTAGCTTATTTCAAGATAAGCCCTGCCATGGAGATGTGCCCTTAGAGACTCAAGAAAGCTTAAGCCCTAATAAATCTATAAGGGTATGTCGACTCTACAGCACTAATTCGAACTAACTTAGTTCTAAATAGTTAATTCGAACTAAGCTAATTCGAATTAGCGCATCTAGACTTAAAAACTAGTTCGAATTAGCATTTTGCTAATTCGAACTAGCATGTCCACACCGAGTGGACCCTGAACTGAGGTTAAGGCTGGCCGGAAACAGTGCTGGCAGGGCATCAGATTAGGACTTACAGCGTGGAGCTGATGTCTCAGGCTAGCCGAGGTCTGTGCTTAAAGGGACCCGACCCCCACCCCAGACAGACAGTTCTCAGGGATTCCCCGGTTGCTTGTCTAACTCGATGAGGGACAGCAAAGCAGTCCTGTCTTGGAGTGCCCCGAGTGCCCACACTCAGCACATCACAGCACAGTGCCATCAGCCCGGCTGCACTTGCCGCAGGCTGCCATCCGGGGAAGGGGCAATCGGGGGGGTGCAGGAGGGACCCGACCCCCACCCCAGACAGACAGTTCTCAGGGATTCCCCGGTTGCTTGTCTAACTCGATGAGGGACAGCAAAGCAGTCCTGTCTTGGAGTGCCCCGAGTGCCCACACTCAGCACATCACAGCACAGTGCCATCAGCCCGGCTGCACTTGCCGCAGGCTGCCATCCGGGGAAGGGGCAATCGGGGGGGTGCAGGAGAGCTTCCACCCCAAGGAGCCCACAAAGACACCCCAGTCCTCCCCATTGGGGGCTCGTACCCCATTCCTCCCTCACCCCTTTCCACTTACCCCTCCCTAGCCCCCCTGCCTGATGTACAAAATAAAGGACACGTGTTCAAAAATAGAAACTCTCTTTATTGAACAAAACTGGAGGAGACTGGGAAAAGGAGGTGGGAGAGGGGAAGAGAGAGGCTGGGAGAGGGGAGGGCAACTAAAATGATCAGGGGTTTGGAACAGGTCCCATATGAAGAGAGGCTAAAGAGACTGGGACTTCTCAGCTTAGAGAAGAGGAGACTGAGGGGGGATAGGATAGAGGTCTATAAAAGCAAGAGTGGTATGGAGAGGGTACATAAAGAAAAGTTCTCCATTAGTTCCCATAATAGAAGGACTAGAGGACACGAAAGGAAAGGAATGGGTAGCAGGCTTCAAACTAGTAACAGAAAGTTGTTCTTCACAAAGCAAAGAGTCAACCTGTGGAACTCCTTGCTGCAGGAGGCTGTGAAGACTAGAACTAGAACAGAGTTTAAAGAGAAGTGAGATAAAGTGATGGAGGTTGGGTCCATGGAGTAGTATTAGCCAGGGGATAGGAGTGGTGTCCCTGCCCAAAGTTTGTGGAAGGCTGGAGAGGGATGGCACGAGACAAATGGCTTG